TTCCATTGAAGCTGAAGCCCCTCCTTCGGCGGCAGACCACGAAGCCGAGGATGCTAATGAAGAGGACGAGGAAGGAGATGCTTGCTATGACGATGTAGGTGACTGATCCACCACTGAAGATGGCCTCATCAAAACTGTGGTTCTGTGAGTCAGACACAAGATGTTATTATTATTATTATTAATTATTAGTAGTAGTAGTAGTTAAGGAATATAAAGTGCAGAAGTCACAGATTTAACAGAGGTCATTTAGGCGCCATAAAAACTTTGTCCAGCAGAGGGAGCTGTCCGTGCCGAACTTCTGCTGATCTCCTCTTTGCACATGTGAATGTGTAGCATTGTGAGGGTGGACTTATGCCAGAAGGATGGACAAAGAACGATAAATACTTGTTTAATATTTTACTGGCAGCAGGCAAGAAAGCCATCACAAAAAAATGTCTTTCTTCAGAGAGCCCAACTATGAACATGTGGATGAACATCACAATGGACATTTACAGAACGGAGAAAATGACAGCAGATGTGAACTACAAGAGGGAGCTGTTGGTATCACGATGGAAGAAATGGATGGACTACATAAAAAACGCAGGCCAGTTTTTGATTTTGCTCTAGATTTTGACTTTGTTAACTACTAGAAGACTAGAGGAAATATTAGTTATATTAATGGAAACAAAAACACACTCCCTACATTTTTTTTCTCTTTCCTTTTTCTTTTTCCTTATGTATCTTTTATTTATTTATTTATTGTTTCCTGTTTTGCTTATTTTTCTTTTCTTTTTTTCCTTCTTCTTCTTCTTTCATTCTTTTTGTATGGATATTTTAGTTGTTTAAATATAGAAAAAAAAAAAAGAAGAAAAATATATGTAGTGACAAATTCCTGAAGTTGATGGTATTGTATAGTGATTCCACAATGTCAATTTAAAAAAAAAAAAAGTATTGTGAGGCTGAGCACACCGCCTCCTGATGTTATTTTTATTTGGAGCATGTGTGCACTGTAAAAGCTAAGAATGAAGAGTAAACATGAGATGGGAGACGTTGTCTTTTACCAGACAGCAGTTGTAATAAATGACTTGTTGTTAAATAAATGTTAAAACATCCAAAATGTATTGAAATAAAGCTAATATTGTTACATATTGTTGTTGGAAAGTAACTGAAAGAAGTCTTTAAAAGATGTCTTCCAGTTCTACACATCTGCATTTTTTCCAGTCTGGATTTTAGGCAGTGTGATTAAAAACACATTAAGATCAGATAAAACTAATGAAATAAAACTGGATTCAAGTATCAACGCAAAATTGTTATTTCTGACGTCTCATCGAATGCCAAGAATCGTGTCTTCATAGCTTCATATAAGTAACATTTCTAAAAGCTAGAAGTAGAACTCTGCAGAGAATCTTTGAAGTGACACGTTTTTGTTGTGCAAGCTTTGTAACATCTCTCCATCAGTTCGACAATTATTAATATTTTATTTTATTACGTGGACGCTCACATTTGTGTCACTGCATTTAATTTTTCAAATGACATATTTTCAGATTAAATTATGAACTGATGAAAAAAACCCACTGACAGCATGTTTAATAATAAAAATAAAATCATCGACGTCTGCGCGAACTCACCGGTGCCTGTCTGTCAGTGGAAGGCAGAGCCGAGGGTCCGGATGACCAGTCTAGAGAGTCCCGGCCAGCGGGTCCAAACTTCCTCCAGCTGCTCTCCAGCAGAGACCGCATGGTGGAAAGTTTCAGGATCCGAAGCCGACGGGTCTGTTGACGGCTCAGAGGGTTAGCACCGACTGCACCGCTGAAGTGATCTGCCTTAAATATATCTGGGAGGGGGAGGAGGGAGGGACGGCAGAGAAATGAGGGCAGCAGACAGTCCAGCAGAGAACAGACACATCACTGGTCCCAGTGGGTCACAGCCAAGGGTGTTTCCAGGATTTTTCTTTTTTTAAAACTATGGTGTGTTTTTATTGGGGGCAGAGCTTCCAAAAATATGCATTAGGAGACGTTACTACAAATCTGTGTTGAAGGATAAGATGTATAAACTAATAGGAAAAAACTGCATTTACGGTTCCAAACACAATTAAGTAAATAAGCAAAGTAGATGAGTTAGAGAACAGTAGACAGTAAGCACTCGATTTTTTTGCATCTATAATTAACTCACAAGCATTCATTGCATATTATTTGAATATTTAACGCTCGCTGACACACTGACAAAGAAATTTCAGTCAGTGGGAGCAACGAGGAGCCATCAGAAGCTAAAATCAATCACTTACACTTTGAATGATTTTTACATGTAGTAAGATTGTCGCTGTTTAACAGTAATGACTGTGTCGATTGTTTGAAAGGTCCAGATAAGCGATGACAAAGAAAATCTGACATAATGTGTCTCACTGGGTGTGTAGTGGATACATTCAAATGATCTGTTAAGGAAGAAACGCTTTTAAGAGTTTTATGCTGCATTAAAGTATATGTTCATATTTTACTCTTATAGGAAAGACCGAAATGTACTACTCGCTCCTTTGCACAGTTACAACACCCACAGCTTTGTCTGCAGAAACAGGAAGTTCACCCTGTGACATTTGCCACAAGAGATTAGCACACACATGAACATGAAAAACAGGAACTGCTATCTATGCTTTAAATAAAGGAAACGCCTGCAACTGGGTGTGAGTCTCTCTCTGAGTCTTCACCTGTGCAGCACATTAACAGCCCTCAAGTGTCTCAGTGTTGTTTATTCACCTGACTGTTTGTTAACTGTAAATCTCTGACATGATCGGTGTAAAGAGTGAGACAATCAGGAAGCTTTAACTCCAGTGGATGACATCTCTCTGTCACTCAGAGTGCTCCGGGGAATCACTTTTTCTGTGAATATCAAGAAGACCAAACGTGAAAAATCTTTGTGATCTGATAAAACTTTTCTCAACATTTCTGGGATATAAAGAAAGTCTGAGAAAGGTTTTACACACTTTGAGACAATTTACAAGTCATTCAAAAGTGTGGAAGAGGAAAGTATATCACGGGTTTACAGGTTTGGTAAAAACTGTACAATAAATCGCTGCCAATAGTCCATCCATCCTCTTTGCTCATCCCTGTCAGGGTCGCGGGGGGGCTGGAGCCTATCCCCGCTAGCACAGGACAAGAGACAGGGTACACTCTGGACAGGTCGCCAGTCTGTCACAGGGCTGCTGCCAATAGTCATAGCACGCCATTCTCAACCAAGTTCCACATTTCGATACAACTTTTGTTCAGGTTTTCTTAAAACTGCAGGATTATTTTGGAACTGAAACTCTTAGGAAAGAAGAAAAAGAGGAGAAGCAAGATGAATAGTTAATGTTTTAAATTGAGACATTAAACAATTTATTGTGGTATAAAATGCTGTTATTTATGTTTCTGTCCATAGTTAAATTGGTAGAACTACACTTTTTTGGGGGGGGGGGCAACTTCTTCACACAACACAGTTGTGTATGTGGCTGTGTTGTATTCAAAGTAAATGGGTATAAAAGGGGACCAATACAGTCTCTACCTTACAAAATGAAGCACCTTGAGGCAAGTGTAGAGATTTGGCGCTATATAAACTGAATTGAATGAAAGTAACTTTTGGATGGATTTATGTGACTCTAACTTTGGAAACTGTCTTTTAATGATGGGGTATCATCTGTTTTCTTCTAAATACCAGGCAGAAAATACGCTTTCACATGCAAAATGAATGAATGAATATTTCATTTTCAGTAAAACAAAGGTTTAGGAGAATTGAAGTCACAACCACAACAACTACAGCAGGAAGGCAAACCACCTGGTTATGGTATGACCATCTCAGGCAAAAGACACATGCTTTCATATGGTCAGCCAGTATTAGTTCCAATTAATATTACTCTTAGAAAGGTAAAAGAGGCACATTTATAATCCTCACAAACACACTATATTGGCAAAAGTCTTGACTCGCCCATTCACATCATTGAATTCAGTTGTTCCAATCACTTCCGTGAGCAGAGGTGTATAAAACACCTCTGCATGCAGACTGCTGAGTGAATTTCAGCATGGTGCCGTAATAGGATGCCACCTGTGCAACAAGTCGAGTCGTGACATTTCCTCATTCCTACATATTCCATAGTCAGTTGTCAGTGGTGTTATAACAAAGTGGAAGCGATTGGTCCTGCTGCCAGCAGATTCCAGAGCAGTGGAGACATGTTCTCCGGAATCACAAATCTGTTTGGCAATCTGAGTCGGGGTTTGGGTTTGCCAGAAAAAAAGTGTTTTTTTTTTAATACTTCAGCTTATCAAGACATCTTGGACATTTTCATGCTCCCAACTTTGTGGGAACAGTTTGGAGATGGCTCCTTGTTGTTCCAACATGACTGCGCACCAGTGCACAAAAGCAGGTCCATAAAGACATGGATAAGTGAGCGTGGTGTGGATGAACTTGACTGGCCTGCACAGAGTCCTGACCTCAACCTGATACAAGCCAGGCCTTCTCGTCCAACATCAGTGTCTGAACTCACAAATGCACTTCTGGAAGAATGGTGAAAAATTCCCATAAACATTCCCAAACCTTCCATTAAACTCTATGGGTTAAGAATGGGATGTCAGTCAAGTTCATATGTGTTTGAAGGCAGACGAGTGGATGCTTCTGGCATATACCTTAAACATACAGCGTATATATAAACAGGTTTCACTATTTTGTGAGCCTTGTTCTATAATTTATCTCCAACCGTTTTGATCTTTTGGCAAGGACAGCTCTAATACCACTTTCATGTATTCAGCAAATCGCAGTGTGTCAGCTCGGCTTAGCACACAGACTCCAACAATGTGCAAATGGAACCAAAGCCAAACCGTCAGCAATAACGAAATCAAAAAATCCCCCTAAGCTCCGTAACTAAAACATTACAGCTGGTTTTGTTTATTCTGCACAAAAATCCTTTTTACTGTTAAAATCATCACTTTCAGATTGGATTGAAGACATCCAAACTTTGGAGTGCATTTGATCATCATCAGATATAAAACACAATGCCAAACATTTGGGGCAAACTGCTTTTAATTTGCAACACGGAGCAGACAAGCCTGCAGAGAAAGCACTTTACAACTTACAGCACTTACACAGCTGCGCTCGGGACAGAAGAGAGAAGCCAGAGCAGGTTAGAAACACCAGGAGAAAATCTTACAGCTGCTGTTCTTTAATATCAAAAGCAGAAAAAAATGCACTTTTAGAAATCACAGTCACGACATTAGCAGAGCCGGCGCTCACAGGTCGGGCAGCAGAGCATCTGAGGTCAGTGAAGGAAGCAAACGGACAAAACAACCTGAGTGAATGAGCAGAGAGCCTGAAGTCACATCGTAAAGACTCTGCACCTTCACCTGCAGGGACACCCAAGGTTGTGTTTTATATTTGTACCATCAGTCAAACAAAGCCTTTTACCATTTTCTGTGGTGGTGATTGTTTACTTTGTAAGCATTTATAGACAGTAGCCATAACTGATCTTCAATGAGAGAAAGAAAATATATGTAGACCACCTGGTCTCTGGAACACATGATATGAAATCAAACACCAACCATTTGGTTAATGTCAGATTCAAATGATAAGATCAACACAAGTTTACACAGTAGATCCACTTTTTCTGACAGCTTCAAGTTTGTTGATGCCAACATCTGGTTCAGTTTAACCTCTTTTCCATCAGTGTAGAAGAAACTGCAAGCATTTTCACAGGAAATATCACAGCGGCAAGACTGCACGCTTCAACGGCCAATGACTGGTTAAATGAAGCACCAGAAACCATATGAGTGGCTTCGTCTTTGTGAGCAGTAATTATGTTTTTCTTCCTTCTGATCATCTCCTGATTACTCCTCAAACAGCATAAATAGCACACCGTGTCAGATTTGTCAGTTGAATGTGTTATCTACACCCACATCTGCTGCATATCTGCAAGCTGCTTTGGAACCCACTCTACCCCAGCTCCTCCTGATTGATCAAGTCTGATGTTACAGACACTCTGGCTTTCTGTCTATGCACACAGAAGAGTGAGGAGGTCCCAGGACAGAGCAATGAAACCAAATAAAAACAAACGCAGATGAAAATAACAAATCTCATTTCTGCTCTAATGGCCGGGACTTAAAGACAAATTTATGCTGTCTTCTTTACTTTACCATCATCTCGGCCTCAAAAACCTGATAAAGCCTGACTTTGCCTGACAACACATAACACATAACCCAAATCTTTTCCCACGATTGTCCATCAAAAATTAAAAACTAATCAAATTCAAACATTTACCGACACAATATTTCTGCAAAGTACACGTCTAAGAACTTTTATGTGATTATTCTTTCATATTTTTCTGTTTCTGTATGTTCTCATGACTTCCTCTGTCATATGACCTTTCACTGTGGAAACTGTGTCAGATGTCTGGGTCACGTAGAAACTTTCTCCATCCGTGTCAGACAAAATGACAGAATAGTCAAAGCTGCTTTTACTCCTACGCTCTCAGTCAATCACCCAGATGCCCTGAAAGCTCAAGCCTTAGATATGTGTACATTTCTCAGACCAACAAGGGAGTCGGTCTTTAAACTGTCAGCCAAATCACTCAGACGTATACTGAGTTCTCCAAACAATGTTTTCTCTTTTTTTTGTCTCAATCTGATCTCTGGAAAGTGAATGCAGTAAGGCACTGCCTCTTCCATCAGTAATCCCTCAATAAAGTCACCAATGTGTTGATTTTACTGTAAATCAATAGTAGAAACAATATTATGAATTCCCAGGAATTGGAGAGAAGAAGGAGCTGTCGGTATCTTGAATCAGAAAGCAATAAGAGCTTAGAATCAAACAAAGACTCGTGGAACACGTAGATGGATTTGCAGCTTCTTGTCAGCAGCGAGTTTACCCAAGAGCATCAAATCTGCTTAGAGTGCAGATAAAGTTTGTTGTGGCGATGAGCTGCACTGAGCAGCAGCCACAGCGACTGTGGTTCAAGCCCTCTTAATCTCAGCTCAACATTTCAAATGTACGTTGGCTGTAAAAGTAAAAAACGCAGACAAAAGATTAATCTCTGGACTCGGCGTTACAAATAATGTCGTGGGCAAAGTGAAAGCAGAGAACCAATCAGAGCAAACACCTAGAGGAGCACGGGCGCCATCAGCACAAACTGCTGGTGCGGTGTCGTTGCATGACGCTGACACATCAGCTGATGGAAACACTGTCACAGCTTTAACACCCACTAAATCCTTTCCCTTCACTATTGCTGATCACACTGATGGCCCACAACATCTGTCCAGTTGCTGCTCGCCCTCGAACAACAGGGACAAATGGGGACGGGTCAGGGACACCGGGAGGGGCTGAGGGACAGCAAAGTCAACTGAGACACAACAGAGTGGCGAGACGTGCTAATGCTGCAACGTAGCAGCCCCACAAGAAGGAGGCCGGAATTAGAGCACGACCTTCCAACCGATGCTGTCGATATTCTGCATTCTGATGCAGGGCTCGGGTTAAAGACAAAGAATGAAACTGAATTTTGTTTAATGTTTTCTTGTTTCTCATGGATGAGCTGAGGTCCATAAATACACAATCACATCAACAATACGTGTAAAAAAATTTGACTTAGCCACCTCATTTAAAACGTGCAAACTCACATTCTGAAGCCTCAAACCAAGCATGGCAGCAGTCTCTGTGCAGGTGGAGCCAGAAGCGCAGAAGTGCATACACTAGTGTGCTTGATTAACAAGGTGCACCTGTAGTGGACTCTGCACCTCACAGGCAAGGAGGATGGGAGATTTTTAACTGGAGGAGACTCTTGGCAGGACTTTTAAGATTAAAAGCTGTACAGCTAAATCCTTTTTTTTTTTTCCACTGGAAATTCTTTGAAAGACACCAACAGCACAGGCGAGAGGTCTGGCTCAGTGACTCCCAATTACTGGAAGTGAAACCAGCATCAAAGCGGTCGAGTCCTTAATTATCCCCAAATAACGTTTAAGTCTTCACCCCATGCAGAGCAGCTCTCAGGGAGGGAACCAAACAAGAGACCAAGACAGTCTTTTGTGGCAGGCTTTAAACATCTGCTGTAAGTGGGCCATTTAATCACAGTCTGCAAGGACTCAGAAGAAGAACTGCAGCATTGGCTTCATTTTTCATCTGCGGAGGTTTTGTGTGTGTGTGATAGGGTGGCAAAAAGCAACCATGAAGCACCCAGGGGGTTGTCTTGATGCACGCTCCATCATCCAGGTGAGTAAATCCCAAAAAGCTGATTCTGTTCATCTGGACGTCTTTTGGTGGGAGAGACATTTCGTCTCATCCAGGTGGCTTCTTCAGTCTCAGCTGACTGCAGGTTTCCTTAATCTTATATTTGCATAATGACTGAAACTAGCAGCACTATGTCCAAAAGAAGATAATCAACTGTTTGGGACTCGGCTGTTTGTTAGAGTATAACTTGAGTCTAAGGTAAAAAGGTTGTAGTATTAGTTGTCCACAATAATGCAGCACCACGTGCTGGGGTGGATTATAGTCTTTGAGCTTCACCTATGTTAAAGAGATGAGTTCACTGTAGCAGAGGCCGACTGACAGGCACAAACATCTCCTTCACAGGGGATGACAGGTTATAGTTCCTGTAGCTGGGGGTAAGAATAGAAAGTTGAGAGTATGCGTGCCCGTGTGGTTGTGGCTCCTACAGTATCACCAGCCTAACAGGCTGTCCCATAAGAGGGACAAAACGTATACAACCACACCCAGCAGCTATTCCCTTTTCTCTCCCTGGAGTTAAGAAATTCACATCTCAATAAAATGTAAAATGAGTTCTTCAACAAGAATTCTTTGGCATCACTTTGGTTTTAGAGTTTTAGACGCCTCGTCTGTGGCAACAAAAGCTAATGAAGCCACATGACATAAATATTAAACACATGTTAAAGCAAAGCAACAGAAACAGCAGTCGTTTAAGATCTCAGTGACTGGTTCCAGCCTGTATTAAATAAAGACGGTGAGCTTTAAAACTCTGTTGTTGATTTAAGATTTTCCGGCTTCTAAAGCAGGAAAAGCTGATGACTTTAAAGCATCAAATTAGGACCCAGCTTGGCACTGACTGCTTGCTTTTTTGGAGCATCCAGTGGAAGCATTGCTGCCAGGGAGGTGACAGCTGGCACAAAGGAGAGAATGAGGCGACCGACAAAGTGAGGAAGCAAGTGAAGAGAGAGCAAATAACACTGAAAGAGTCTCCGCTGTAGACAAAGTGGGTGAAAAAAGGAGAGTAAATCTTCTTAGGAGCATCAGATGCTGCCGCCCTCCCCGCCCCACCCGCCTGTCCTCGATACGGGCCGAGCCGCTGAAGTTAGCGTCAGTTCAGCACTCTCTTCATTCATTCATTCATAATCTGTCCTGAAATGCACACGAATGGAGGTCAGCAGAGTTACAGCTCATCGAGGCAAACTGGACTAGTGAAAGTGAGATAATGCACGTTCGTTCAGTTTGCTGACTCCGTGCTCGGAGTACGTTTCTTTCTCCGTGATATAAACGCACCTGATGGCAAAACTTTCATCCATCTGTTGGTTTCCAGGTGAGAGATGTGGCATTATTCTTTGAAAGGACTGATGATAAGAGGGTAATAATGATAAGACTGTTATTTAAATATCATAGACAGTAAGGAGCTGAAAGGACAGGTGTTGATTATTATTGAACTTTTCTTGTATCGTTTTAGATGCAGGACAAAAACATTCATTTTAACCTGAAAGTTATCGGCGCACATACATAACCACACTGAGACACGTTACATGGTGAAGGCACCGCCATACAAACGACATCGTGAATCCTCCGTTTGGCGATTGGAATTCTTTGGTCACTTAAAAATGAGTTACTGATGATGTTAAACACGATGCTCTCATTAAGCAGCTTTGTCACCAACCCCCTGCTCTCTATTAGCAACACTGTTGGAAAAGCTTAAGGATACAGGACTCAGGGTTTCCCCTTCAGTCACAGCCAATAGGCTCCAAGCACATATATGCAAAAAAATATTATCAACACAGTAAATATTTCAAATAAATAGTTGCATAAATAGATGATATGAAAAAGGACATGCGGCTGGCATGAAACATCAAAACACACACACCGAGCGCCGTCTTTGATTAAAATAATTAATACTCATGTCAGAAGGTTTAAACAGGCCTCTGAGCCACATGTGATCAGGATCAATGAGCACTCGCTCTAAACTCTGAGAAGGAAAACAGGATAAAAATAAAGTTCTAAGCTGAACCTTTGTGATCTCCAGGATTTCACTGGCTTGTTTATGGTCGCGTCTTCAGCACTGTGGAGATTTTCAGAAACCTGCTGAGCTGAGACATGGGCTTGATTCAGACAGCAGGCAAATCAGATTTGTTTCTCAAATAGGACCTTTAGGACTGCGCTGTTATTTGCAAGTGATCAGATGGGATTTGTGTGCCCAGACATTACCAGACCATCTGTAAGAGTGGCTGCAGCAACAGCGCAGGCGTCACTGAATACATCACTACCATTTGTCTTCTAGCTCCCTACACGCCCCCTCCCAAAGAGCCAGCAGGCAGTTCTCTCATCATCTAATCTCATCTGGATACAATGTGGGTTTGTGGAAAAGGGAGTGAAAAATGAGCTGGAAGTAAATTTGCAGCAGGTTGTAAAAAGGATTAAAGCATCCAAACGGGCACCGGGGAGAGCTGTTTGGACCACCTGTGGCGCTACGGAGCTATACAACGTTGTATGTGGTGACAGAGTATGACAGAGGTTATAGAGACGAGCGTATGAAGAGATGCAACAATGCAAAGAATGTAAACATGGCTGCTTCTTCATGGGTGTTAAAAACCCCTGGAAGTCACTGACACGAATGAAGCACGAGGGTGAGGAAATATTATCAAAAGCCTCTGTGATTGTCGTGTTGAGACTTTATAACAATGCTGGACCAAAATTAGGATTCGGCCAATCAGTCTTCAAAAACTGAGAACTCATAGATGACATTTAAGAGCTCCGTGTTTGTTTCTTTGCACTGTTCAGGGTTCAGGAAACAGTTCAACCGAGTAACAAGAGCACAGACGGCACATTTACTGAGAAACTTTTCAAATAATATAGAGAAGCCTGTTACATTTTTATTCCTCATACCGTATCCTTCATCAGGAAACAAATCCTTCATACTGATGTCACTTAATGACTGCCTGACAACAAAATGTTGGCGAGGACCATCGATCATTCATCAGCTCCTAAAATCTACGGCAGCATTTCTGATTTCATCTGTTTATGTCCCTCACTGACCGACACTTTGCAGCCTCCGGCCGCTGCTTTTGCATTTCATCGCTGCGACATCACAGAATGATGTCATAGAGTCTGCCGACCCGGCCCAGCCATTCGCGCAGGGCCTGGCGAACGCGGGCGTCGGTCACGTGGCAGGAGAGTTGGCTGAGGCAGGGGTAGAGCGCCGGCTGGAGCGCCAGGAATGAGGAGTCAGACAGTAGGAGGACCTGGTTCAGGAGGGTCAGGACCATGTTGGTCCAGGCCTGCAGAGGGAGGAACACAGACATCAGTTCACAAGCAGATGCAGACCTCACTTTTACCCAACTTTCCTTATACGAGAGGGTTTAAACAGGGGACCTTCAAACTTGTGGGGACAAGGATTTTGGTCCACATGAGGCTGTTGGTCCCCACAAAGATATGAATACATGCCCGCACACACACACACACACACACACACACACACACACACAGACACACAGACACACAGACACTCGCCTGTATCTGAGCCTCAGAGTCTCTCAGCGAGATGCTGTGGGAGCTGATGGTGGACCCCGACCGCGGCCTTTTCTCCTGCCTCAGCACCTCCGGCCCCGCACTAACCGAGTGCCTCAGAGAGGGCCCCTGCTGGTCCACCAGCTGCTGAGGCCTCTGCGGGGGCCTCTGCGGCTCTACTGGGCCCCTCCTCTCCCCGATGCCGCCTCCTCCTGCCGCCGCCCGGCCCTGCTCTTTCATGAACAGGTTGACGTGGCTTTGCTGCGGCTGCTGCTGCTGATGTTTCCTGCGTTTATATTCCATCATCAGCTTGCTGATCGTTCTGTCTGTGGCAATGGTGTATAGCTTGTTTCCAGCACTTTCCCACCATTCCTTTCTCCTTCCCGGGCCAGCGCTGCCAGGAATCCCTCCAGCCGAGCTGCTTGTTATGTTGGAGTCCCTCCGTTCGCATCCAGTCCGGAACTGACTGGACAGACTGCCTGTGCAGCTGTGGGGAGAGGAGAGCGGCAGCTTTTACATGACGGGTGACTAAACAGCCTTCACAAAGCACACATTAATATGCGTGATCTCCAACCTGAATCCTGGACTTGGCGTCGGTGTGTCCCCCGGTGACGCTGAGCTCACGTCTGTCGTCTGACACCTGTACCCGCCTTCCTCTGAGGGCGTCTCCCTCGCTGAAAGCCCGCCTGCTGAGGTCGGGGTCGAAGTCTCGGACTGGAAGAGAGGCAGGAAGAACACATGGTCTCCTCCTGCACTTCCCCTCAGCAGAGCAGTCTCCTCCAGCATGCTCTCCAGGTCGCGGTGCATCTGAATGTAGCTGTTGCACAGATCCACGCACAGCTTGTAGAGCCGCTTGACCAGCCAGGCCCAGTCGGCGCTGCCCAGCGGCTGCACGCTGAGTGAAGGGACTGGAGCTCGCCACGGGTGACGCTTATCCCGGCCGCGAGGGGGGCTGACCTGCCAGATAAGACACAAATATTACGAGGAGGGTCAAAAGTTTAGAAAAGCCTCTGAGGATTGAAGAGAAAAAATGAATAATGGATGAAAAGAGTAGCAGCACGACTAATCCAAGGCCGCTGCTTTAATTCTAGATTGAGGTCACCTGTCAGCCCCTCTGAGTGGCCTCTCATCACATTTGAATGTTTCACAATTCTTTACAGTAACGCTGCCAATCAGAAGCTGTGTGTATGTGTGTGTGTGTACCTGTTTACACATCTTTGTGGGGACCAACAGTCACCTGTGAGGACAAAAGTGTCCCCACGAGTTTGAAGGCATTTTTGAGACTCAAGATGTGATTTTTGCGTCAGGGTTACAGTTGGGTTATCGTTAGGTTTAGGCTCAGGGTTAGGCATTCATTTTTGATGGTTAGGGAAAGAATTATGTCAATTAGATGTCCCCACAAGATATGAATACCCAACATGTGTGTGTGCATGTGTTACCTGTGCGGTTTCTTCAAATATGTCTTCATCCTCCGAGGAGGCGGAACCAGGATGAGAGGAGTCTGAGCTCCCCTCCTCTTCCTCGTACAGGATCCTCTTTACCTGAACACGGCGACAGGTTCAGATGTCAAACAGATAACTAGTGACGAGCTCGTCTGTTAGCGGTGACGACGGTTATCACCAGTGATTCTGTGTCTGCTGAGAGGTTAATATGACTGCTGTGTCTGGTTGGTAAAATATGCATTAGAATAAAAAATAATAAATGAAATGAAAATGTTATTTTTGTGAACATCGTTCCTCCAGACATATCAAATACCTGCTCCGCGCTTCTTTCATTCGACCTACCAAATACACAAAAGTGCATTTTAAATCTGGAGCTGTGCATTTAAATAATCCCAGCAAAAGAAAATCATAGAAATCAAGAAACATCGTATACGTGAAGATGTTTTCCTGCACAGTGAAAAATCGTTTCATGAACATTCGTCCAAGACATGTTTGAAAAAAAGTTCCAAAATAAAAGCTGGGCAGGCGTCCAGCTCACTGCCTGCTCAGCTCCGTTCCTCCCATGCAGCGCGCCATGACACAGATTTTAAATTCAGCTCTACATCAGTGGTTTAAATGTTATTTACAGGTCATGGCTACAAAATGTGTTTATGAAATGACTGTCAGCGAATCAAAAACAACTTGTGCATTTGGCTCCTTTAGAAGTGATATGATCAACAGGGCGGCCTGGCTGGTGTTGGTCGTTTTGCTGGGCGTGCGTCTAAACCTTCTGGTCCAACTTCTCACCAGTTACCTTCTAACTGTGTGCGTTTGGTGCTAAGCAGCAGCACGAGGTGGGATAATGAAAAACAGTTTCCTGCAGTGAGAGTGAACTGGAACAGTGAACTGAGCTGTGAAACGATAAGCTCAAATAAGTGATAAGGCTTTGTAGAGCTGAGTGGAAGTGACCACTCGGGTGATAACTCTGTGGCTTTTACCATAACAAAAATTTGTCCCAAATCATCTGAACGCATTAGCGATGCTCTAGAAGTGACAGCAGGTCCCTGTGAAACTATAAAAGAGCTGCAGTGTGGTTGCTAATTGTTGGCTACTTCTAAGCTACAAAAGCCTGGAACAATGTTTGTGCCCCTCAGTATGTGGATCTGGATATGCTGTATTAGCAGCGTGACAAAAACATACAAGAACATTATTAACTTGACTGGTTTCCACCTGCTGTGCAGTCATGCTGTCTGCCTGGCTCAGTATGGCACACAGCAGGGCCTGGAAGTACAGGCTGAAGCTCATGGCTGACTGGCGGTAAAGATTGGCTGCTCCACAAACACCCGACACCTTCATCAGCAGGTACTTCAGACCCGGCCGAGTGTCAAAGTCCCGCGCCGTCCTGCACACAACAGATTTTTCAGCTGCATTTGAAGCTGATTGACATTATTATAAAAAGCATGAATATAAAATAACTTGTTTTGTTTCTATGTTTGGAAACTAGCAGGATTCAGTATCAACACTACACTGCCATCTGCATATGTGACATGTTTTGCTGCAGTAACCTGTACGAGTCCAGCAGCAGATCCAGAATTATGGCTAAATTCGTCATAGAGATGTAGCGCAGGAAGCCTGCTGTGGGTTTACTGGGGTCAGAGGTCACAGGTGTGACCCTTTCGTGACCTTCAGGCTGCTTTACAAACTCTTCCAGCAGGATGTCAGAGAGGTTTTGGAGCAGAACCTGGTGGGACAGCAGGCTCACCACGATGGTCCTGAATGGGATCCTGCACATCAGTCGAATCACATACATTCAGTTACTTATTTAAAAAAGAATCCTTCATAATAAAGAAAGATTTCACTGAACACATTGATGCATTTCCAGTCATGGTTCATTTATCTGTTGTAGCATCACTGTAATGTTAAACAAATGAATAAAGAGGATAAAGGATAAAGATGCAGGTGCAACATGTAAATGACAGAGCTGCACAATATGGCTGCGGTGTAACGTGAAGAAGTGCAAATGTACAAGGAAAGCTTCTTCTTCTTCTTAAACTTGTATCGTTGATGCAGCTGCAAGCGAGAAGCTGACTGAGTGCAGATGGTTGAGTGCTGCATTAATTACAACTTTATTTTTGGTTTACATCTAATCAGCCACTGCATACTTGTCTGTGCATCGTGCAGCTCATTTAAGATTAACACTGGCGATCATGCTGTCCATGCCTCGTGTGAGCATTTGTCACACTTTTAAATGGTTGTTGATGAACACACAGAGAACAGCCTTACCCAATTTTCCTTTAACACAGCAGCAGAAAGACAAGCGCAAAGAGTTAGTGGACTTCAGAGAGCACATTTCCCCCACAGTCACTGACAGAGCACACATAAGAGGACAGACCACAGAAGGAGGCACATTTAAACCTAAATCTAACTGAAAACATGCGGCACCTTCAGAGCCTCGTTAAGAAATGTAAACCAATCAGACGAGTAATAAACCACCCATGTGATCACAGCTTTGATGTGCACCTCTTCTGAGCGTGTCCATTGGACTGCTGGTCAGACGGCAGCTCGATGATGAGGACGCAAGACTGAGCGTGCTCAAAGCCTTCCTTGTTGTTGGGTGTCTTAGGGGAGCACTGAGTGTCCAACATAAAGACCTGGGATAGAAACGGGACATGCGGACAAGCTCAGGTCAGACAGTTAAAACCACAGGACAGGCTTAAAGAAAGATTACCCATACACGTGTGTTTATATTCATTTACCACGATGGATCTCTGTAAGTATTAAGTGATAAAATACAAGTTTATGTACAACTTCAACTTCAGGATCTGACATTTCAAACTCCAGGATGATGGGAGATTTTTTTTCCTGTCTAGACTCTCGATTGGAGGTCGAAGCCACAGCGAAGCCACGTGAAGTGACACTGACCTGCTGGGCCATAGCTTTGATCCTCCAGTACTCGGCCTCGGCTGACGGTGAATGAGAAGGAGCCGCCACCTTCACCTCGCAGGCATCTCCAGAAAAGCTGTCCGAGCCGCTGTGAAAACACGCCAGAAGGTTCTGCAGAGAGAAAAAAGGGAAGACTGGTGTGGGTTAAATGGGAAACACAGACTTTTGCGATCTAAAAGCTGTCTCGCTGAAGAAACCTCTGGCTCCTTGGAAGTGAAATCTGCTGAATCAGGTTTGAAACCAGAAGAAGATCCGTCAGAAAATTCATTCTTCCACTGGAATACTGTGGAAGAGACTACAGCCCATTATTCCTGAAACTCTGGCTGAATGAGGATGAACCTTTCAGTCTGTGTGTTTAATCAAGGAGCACAGCTTCTATTGTTTATAGGAAATATCATACTGTTTCCTTCATACACCAGTCGGGTTTTGTGTTATATGGTATATTTCAGGTGACAGTCGGTCTCTCAATGACATGTATGGCCAGCGTTTATTACATTACATCAGCTGTGACCTGAATGCTTTTTAACAAAAGCAGCTTTTCTATAAAGCCAGTCAAAGGCCACGTGTTCATATGTCTGAGAGCATAAGCTACACATGAAGGACCGATGTCTACATAGCATAAGCTGCATGTTACCAACTGCCCTACAGACATAATACGATTCTATGCATTTTTCAGGATTTCATTTACAGTCACATATCATTTATTAACATGTCTGAAATTTCTCTGCTCTTCCTTCAATATTTCTGTAAGATGGGACGGAAATGAAAGAAGTTTTAACTGAGGTTAGAAACAACGTTGAGAGGCAAAGTGCGTATTTTACAAAGACGTGGAGCCCTCTGCTTGTTTCAGAGCTAATGATTAGTATGAATCTGAGCGAACGAGATCAGCTGCACTTGTTTTCAGTGTGCTGTTATACGTGGGATATAGAGCTGGGCGATAGAACGATAAC